TGTATGTATGTATGTATGTATGTATGTATGTATAGTATGTATGTATGTATGTATGTATGTACAGTATGTATGTATGTATGTATGTATGTATGTATGTATGTATGTATGTATGTATGTATGTATGTATGTATGTATGTATGTATGTATGTATGTATGTATGTATGTATGTATGTATGTATGTATGTATGTATGTACGTATGTATGTATGTATGTGTGTATGTATTTATGCATGCATGTATGTATGTTTGTATGTATGTATGTGTGTATGTATGTATGCATGTGTGCATGCATGTATCTATGCGTGTAAGTATGTATGTATGATGCGTGTATATGTCAATGTACGTATGTCAGAGTGTGCGCGTCTCTTTGGCATCTTTCATAGTCCACGACTGGTCGCGCGACCGGTCGTGGACTATGAAAGATGCCTTTAACCAAAAATCCAATATTTCTTCTCCCTGGACTTGGAGATAAAATTTGGAAGGAATGCAAGCGCCGGGGCGTGGACTCCGACGGTAGTTAACAGGGAGTGACAACAATTTATAGAGACTAATAAGGAGCTTTAGTAGTCATGAGCCACTGAAACAGTGGCGCTTAGAGCATTAACATTGCAGCCTTGACACTTTGGTGGGTGAAGAGATATATGAGATTTGCGGGTATCGTATATGGTTGACGAAGGAGATGCGGGCCTTCATTAGGTGTTTAGTTGCAAAAGCCATTGGATCACTCGTACCTTTTCGTAATATCAGTGAGGTTTTCCTTAAGCAATTTGTGAGTAAGATGGACTAGATCGTAGAAAACTGATTAACGAAAATGATGGCCGATGAAGGCTTATAAAGGATAGGATCAAGGCCACAGCCTGGTGGTATGAGACTTATGGTTACTGACCCCTCTGATAGTGGCACTTCTATGTGCAAACTTGACACTTTAGCATGTTCCATACAATAGGACAGGATGGTTGAACAAGTTGGCAGAAAATATTGATAAATGCAATGATACGAACAGACTGAACTAGTGTCAATGAAGTAAACAAAGAAACTCTCTCATTTATAAAGCAGTATTTTGTTGTGTCGGTTTGCCGATTTGTGTCTTTGTCGGTGTGTCTGCGTGTCCGTCCGTGAAACTTATGGTTATGATAAAGGAGTGATATGAGAAAACCAGCTCTATTCTTTATTTCCTTCCTATATACAGTAGCGCTCAAAAGTCTTCGGTGAAATGCTTTGACGCTTTTTCGTTCATAACTTTTTTTCGTAGTAGACCAAATCGCGCAAAATTTGGATATGTTTAACTACAGCATATTTCACTTTACCCAACACTATTTGACTGCGAAGCTGCAATATCCACAGATAGAGCAAGGTGTTTGTTGCGGTAGCAGATTTTGCTAAAACTCAAGTTGTTGACGTCTGCAGTTACTCAAAACTTATGTGCGTTTTCTAATCTACTATGTTCGGCATTAGCGCTCGTACACTTTGGACATGACGAAAAGGAAAGAATTCCTAGGAGGACCAATGTTTGTATTTCCAGTTGATTTTGATTTCAAGCTCTTTGTGATATCAGGAACATGACCAGATGGCAGGTTAATAGTGGTATATTTATAACAATATACCCATGCTACGCTTATCGAAATTTCGCGTGATAAGATCCAGTAGGAAAGGAGTTACTACTGAAGAGTACGGCTGAAGAATCATTTCACCGATGGCTTTTGAGCGCTACTGTATAAAGCAGTAACGTGGTGGGCAGGTTAATGGACGAGAGTGACCACTGCGGAGTGAAGTGAGTAATGTAGAGTAAAGTGGGTACTTCGAAATGTGAAATGTCAAAATTCGATCGGTACTGGCATCGTGCTATGTGTAACTATACAAAAATCAGAGATGACAATGTAGTTGGGAGACCTTTTTTAAGATCGAGCGTTGGATAGCAGATGAAGAGGTCAGCCCATAGTTGTGCTCACCAACTTTCTTCGCCGAAAACGTATAGCTTGACCTGAGCTTTCTCCTGAAAGGGAACACAGGGGTGGGACAGTCAATCGAGTATACTCTACTACTCTGGCTACTCTTCCGCTGCACTCTAGCCCTCAGTGTTGGATAGTAGCGATGCCCCCTCCCCCTAACTACAATTACTAACTACTTTGTATCATAAAAGTAAGGAATGAGGCAGGGCCTAAGCCGGGCGACGACCCGACTGGTGATACATATCCCGGTAAGCGGTTCTACTCTCCGAATGGCGTGCCACGTACGCACCCTATCACGAGCTGTGGAAGGAAAGACTTGAATTCAAAGCGGAGGATACGGAATTTGCCGCGACGCCAGCGCCGCTCGTGGTAGGATTTGAGCAGAAGTACTCCACCCGTTCACTCCCAATACCCCTTGTGTCCAAAAAGAATGAGAAAATCATGCTTCTCAACTCTGAAAACGTATTGCTCCCGGGGGCGCGCGAATCACGCGTGACCCCATTAGAGCTCTTCGCACACGCAGCATCGCTTCACCACCTTTCTGCTGAAAAGGACCAAATATGATTTGCAGCAGTCCACGGCTTCACCATGAATTAGAGCAAATTTCTTTACTATGGCAATGAGGCTCCTTCAAGATTAAGAATTAATTTCACAGGTCAACAATTTACCTGCCAAGCGTTCGAAATAAGAATAACTTCAAACCTTTCGATCCTAAAAACGCAACTCTTCTGTAAACGAGCACAAATGGTCATTTTTTTACCTGTGTTGCTTATAAGCTCCTATTTCTCCCATATAATCGTAGGCTAGCTTGTTGATGTTACAGCACGTCTCGTCCGATGACCACATCATATTGACGCGTGAATCGTCCACACCCTGTTGCTTCCAATCGGGCTAATGTAGGACTATAGATCCGTTAGCAGGATTAGGGCATTGTTATTACGGCAATACTACAGCCGTTCCATATCTGACATGGTCGTCGAATGTAAGAAATCA